TTTTGTGGTTCGCTCTTCTTGTGGCTGAGTTTTATAATTACTGAATCACTGCCGAGTATGCGAAGTATTGCGAGCTACTGTCCTATCTCCTCAAGGTGATATCAATACAGGTTCGTGACGTTATTCTTTTTCAGACCAAAAACCGCTATGAGGCCCTCAAAGAGGCCACGATTAGGCGTGTTCTGCTGTCTAAGATAGTTCGCCTGCAGCAGCTTTTCATAGATTTTTAGCCGGGCGACAAACTGCCCTCTACACCCTGCTTCGAGAGATGCAGCAACTGCTTGGTTCCTCAACCATAGACGATGCTTTACTTCGCGAACTAGGGCTACAACGGCTACCGGAGAACACACAAGCGATTCCTGCTGCAGTGAGCTCCGTTTCGCTCACTCAGCTAGCAGACTTAGCAGATCGAGTTATAGAGCGATCACAGCCACAAGCCGACATTGGCAAGATGAATGCCGTCACGTCCCAGGGCACTTCTCTCACTGGCTTACAGTCAACTATAGAAGCCCTCCAAACACAAGTTGCAACACTTAGCCGCCAGGTTCAACAGGTTACTATGAACCGTCGTCGTCCTAGCCGATCAAAATCACCCATCAAACGTTCCAAGTCTAGCAACAGGCAGGTCAGCTGTTGGTACCATCAACGCTTTGGTATCGCAGCTCGTAAACGTGCCAAACGTTGCAACTTCGCCGAGAAGCAGGGCAACTTCTCGGCCGGTCCGTAAGGGCGAAGGACGCAACCGGCCAACACCAAAGTCGCCTCATCCGCTTTAGGGACTTAACTTCCGGTACCGAGTTGCTTGTCGACACAGGAGCCGAAGTTAGCTTTATACCCCGTAGTCCAGATGAGGTCAACTCACCATCGCCGACAAAGTTGCGTGCTGCCAAGGGCACACCGATCGCAACTTTCGATGAAAAGATGCTAACGCTCAAGTTAGGTCTTCGGCGAACCTTTCGCTGGCCTTTCATAATCGCTGCGGTGCCTTTCGCCATCATAGGCATAGACTTTCTTCAACGCTTCAACCTCATCCTTGAAGCTAAAAGGAAGAAGCTTATCGACTCCAGGACACAGCTCAGTGTTATCGGGACTAGCACCAACGTGGCTGCTATCACTTACATTCGTGTCCTACCTCAAGCTTCACAGCCTTTTCTAGAACTTTTCAGCAAGCATCCTAAACTCGTTCGCGTCCTGAACGACTTGCCTCCTGTGCCGTCAAACGTCATGCATCATATTTGCACTAAGGGCCCACCTGTTTCGGCCCGCCCTCGCAGGCTAGCTCCGGACAAGCTCAAAGCTGCTAGGGCGGAATTCGAGCAAATGCTGGAACTGGGAATCATCCGCCCGTCCAAAAGTCCATGGGCATCACCATTACACATGGTACCGAAGAAATCCGGTGACTGGCGCTCCTGCGGTGACTACAGGGAACTTACCAAAGCTACCGTCCCGGATAAGTACAGCATTCCGCACATGCACGACTTGACCTCAGCTCTAGCTAGTAATTCTATTTTTAGCAACGTCGACTTAGTTCGCGCCTACCATCAGATACCTGAGGCGCCTGACGACATGGCTAAAACAGCAGTCATCATGCCATTCGGCCTATTCGAGTACCTCATGATGCCTTTCGGCCTCAGCAACGCTACCCAAGCTTTTCAGCGTTTCATTCATGAGGTAACGCGAGGACTGGAAGGCGTTTATCCTTATTTACATGACACTCATCGGCAGCTCTTCTGACGAGGAGCATCTTCCTCACCTCGACGCACTCTTCCAACGCTTGGCGCAACACGGGGTTACCGTCAACCCCGATAAATGCGAGCTTGGCCAAAGCTCCATAGACTTTCTGGGCCACCGCATATCCACCACTGGTATTGAAGCTCTGCCAGACAAAATCCAGGCACTGAAGGACTATCCTGCTCCTAGTTCCTTCAAACAGTTACGCAGGTTCCTTGGCCTGGGGCAACTATTATAGACACTTTAGCCCTAACTGCGCGAGCTTTGTTCAACCAAAGACTGACTTGCTCCGCGGTAAACGACGGTCTCTCCATTTTACAGACGACGCTAGACTGCCTTTTGGGAAGCTCAAAGACGCTATCTCTAACATAGCGCTTCTCGCCCATCCAGACACGTCTGCACCAATTTCCCTGATAACTGACGCATCCGACACTGCTGTCGGTGCGGTTCTTCAACAACTCATTGGTCATCGATGAATACCTCTAGGTTTCTTCTCGAAGCGTTTACAACCTGCCGAATCGCGTTACAGCACCTTCGGTAGGGAACTGTTAGCTATCTACCTAGGTATCCGACATTTCCGTCACTATCTCGAAAGTCGACCATTTACAGTCTTCACTGACCACAATCCCTTGATCTACTCAATCAAAGGCGCAACGGACATGTATTCTCCGCGGGAAACTAGACACCTAGACTACGTTTCTCACTTTACGACAGACGTACGACATGTCTCAAGTGCTCTCAATCCCGTCGCGAATGCGCTTTCACGCATTCAGCAGATCAGCTTATCGCCTGGCACCAACATTGATCTAGCCGCTATGGCTGCTGCCCAACAAGCTGATCCCGACATAGGCAAGGTACGACGCAACACCACTGAGACCAGCACCATTGATCGACTCAAGCCAGCATTCCTCTACAAGTCTGACTCTTCGGTGCAGCAAGCATCTACACTGCCTTCGACATCACAGATCGCACCGCGACCTCAGACAAGTCAGTCCGGTCCAGCAGAACCGACAATCCCAACCGACAGCACCCCTACTCTCCGTACTGTCAATCGACGCGGTAGGAAGCTCAGGCCCCCAGTTCGTCTTTCGGACTTCGGCCGCACTTGCTATTTTACATAGAACGTGCCTGCAAAATTTTCCGCTCTTACCAAACGTTTACAAAAATCCACAAAAACGATCAAAACGTTTTGAAACTACCAAAATTGAGCAAAACCTCGTGAAACCCCAAAACAGCTTTGCATCTTTTACGCTTTGCATTCTTTTGTGCATTGCTATGCATTTATGCTGCTTTTTCATTGTGTTTTCCATATACCCCGCCGGTTGGTTGCACCTCGGTTTCACTTTCCGCTGGATCCCCGCACGTCAATTGGAAGTGGAACGAACTTCCTTTTCAACAGCCCACGTGAACTTTACTAACTGTCCCCCACAAACAGCTTTTTACCGTTTCGACACCGTAGGGAATCCGCGGGTGGGAGCTTGCTAGGGTCCGATTGCATGGTTCTCCCCCAGCAGCTGCATCAGATTTCACAACCTGGTCTCAAAGAAGGCTGGTCCGTGACCTACAGCCCTTACGCAGATCGAAGGTCTGCTTACACAGTCCCTTCTGGGAGAGGGCTATGTAGCAGCCTGGAGATTTCCCGGTTTGTCTGTGTAAAATTCTAACTAAAATTATTTCATTGTACGCCTAGGCAACCGGTGTGGTTTGTTGAACTGATTGCTGAGTTCGAATGCTTGACTTGCTCATCGACATTTTTGCTTGGCGCTCGTTTCGGTTGCAGCTGGCGACTACCCTGTGTGCTGTGCATACTCCATTCCCCTAGCTAGAGCGACCACGGTGTCGTTCATTTATAGCTAGATAACAGGGAACCTTTTACTGTGCTAATAAAAGTTTCCCTGCAACTCGATCCGTCTTCAAGGATCGCTCTCTGGGCTCCCGGTACAGGCGACCCTCCAAAGGTCGAGTTATGTGACTGCATTAACGTGCATATCTCTAGCTCCTCCAGCATCAGTGACTTGGCAAAGCCAACTACGATTCAAAATTGCACTGAAGATCAAATACACACTATTAACTTTGATTTAAATAACATCAGGCGAGCGCGTTGCTCCTTAAAAATTTCACACTACCCGGGTCCTGATGGTGTCCTTTCTTCTGTATTACTTCTTGGAGAACTAGATATTCCAGTCCTTCTCCTCAATGTCTTCATTATCTTTATGAAGAGCGGATAATACCCGTCCAAATGAAAATAAGCAATCATTATACCACGACACAAACGAGGCTGCCGACGAACTATTAACAGTTACCGTTCTACCAGCCACACACCCATTGCGCCTAGACTCATGGAAAGAATAATAAAGGAAGGGATGCTTCGCTTTCTGTTGCAACGCAACCTTATTAATAGGTCCCAACACCGGTTTCTGCCTACTAAATTCTGTCAAACTTGCCAGTTTGAATTTTTAAACGAAGTTACACGCACCATAGACATGGGTTAAGCACTAGTCATCAGCTTCCTGGATATGAAAAATACATTCGATCCGGTTCTACACAGTGGGTTTGAAAACTTAGCTGCATTCGGTGTTTCTGGCCGCCTCTCTTCTTGGTTTTCTTCTTACCCTTCTAACCGAACGCAGTCAGTGCTACTGGGTGGTTACTTCTAAAAAGGCATCTGTAACCAGCAGAGGGTTCCAAAGCAGCGTCTTAGGTCCTTTGCGGTTTTTACTGTATATTAACGATGCATTCCAAGTCTTCCAACAAGGCACTCCCTACCTATTTGCTGATGATATAAAAGTAGTTATCTCATTTAATTCCAGTTTCCTACGCAATGGCCTCTCCAGCATTCAAAGAGATCTCGACGCTCTTGAAACAGGGTGTGACCTGTGGCACCTAAAGATCTCACCAAGGAAATGTCACTTACTTTCCTACCGGTGCTCTGTACAGCCCAACTTATTAACTCTTAACGGAATACCACTAGGTAGCAGCCTTACCGTGCGCGATCTCGGTGAGCACCACTCAAGCTCACTGCATTTTGCGTTACAAGCGAGCTATAGCTCTGCAAAAGCCAGGGCTATCGTTGGCCATATTCTAATGTCAATGAGCCTGTTAGAGTCGCGACTCATGCTCTAAAATTTGCGTGCCTGACCTACGGTAAGTATTGCTTGTTACTAATTCACGCCAGCGAGAGGCTTTACCATTTCCATTCATTCTAAATTTTCACTAATCGTCTTACCATTCTCATCAATCACCTCAACAACCTCCCCATCCACATCCTCTCAATTTATTCCCCCCCCCAAATTCATCTTCTGCAACCCCCCCCCCCAAAAAAAACACCCCCCCCCCCCCCACCCCCCCCCCCCACCCCCCCCCCCCCCCCCCCCACCCCCCCCCCCCACCCCCCCCCCCCCCCCCCCCCCCCCCCCCCCCCCCCCCCCCCCCCCCCCCCCCCCCCCCCCCCCCCCCCCCCCCCCCCCCCCCCCCCCCCCCCCCCCCCCCCCCCCCCCCCCCCCCCCCCCCCCCCCCCCCCCCCCCCCCCCCCCCCCCCCCCCCCCCCCCCCCCCCCCCCCCCCCCCCCCCCCCCCCCCCCCCCCCCCCCCCCCCCCCCCCCCCCCCCCCCCCCCCCCCCCCCCCCCCCCCCCCCCCCCCCCCCCCCCCCCCCCCCCCCCCCCCCCCCCCCCCCCCCCCCCCCCCCCCCCCCCCCCCCCCCCCCCCCCCCCCCCCCCCCCCCCCCCCCCCCCCCCCCCCCCCCCCCCCCCCCCCCCCCCCCCCCCCCCCCCCCCGCCCCCCCCCCCCCCCCCCCCCCCCCCCCCCCCCCCCCCCCCCCCCCCCCCCCCCCCCCCCCCCCCCCCCCCCCCCCCCCACCCCCACCCCCCCACCCCCCCCCCCCCCCCCCCCCCCCCCCCCCCCCCCCCCCCCCCCCCCCCCCCCCCCCCCCCCCCCCCCCCCCCCCCCCCCCCCCCCCCCCCCCCCCCCCCACTCCCCCCCCCACCCCCACCCACCCCCAACACCAACTTACAACAATCACAATACCACTCCCAAATTACAAATTAATAAACCTTCACTTAATATCGATACTGTACCCATTGTCACCCTTCCATCCATAATTCCCCCCTGCCACCACACCCCCACCTGTTCCCCTCACTTGTTGCCTTTCCTCACCTTATCAGTAACCCAGCGCTGTGTGCTGACCTAGTTTCCTTTGTCCAGTCTCCTACTTTCTGACTGCCTACAGAGTACTGAGCTGTAAACGGCATAGGCTCGGCACAACCAAAACACTATTTCCCTTAACCGTAGGGCTTATACCTAACTAATTTAAACTCTCGTATATCTAACAGGTCCATTTCTGCTGACATTGTATGTTATCTTCCCAGCTTAACTGTACTACTAAATTCAAAGTGCCGACTAATACAGCTTCGTTTATTTCGTCTCCTGCTTTCTGACCTCTCTGACTATTGTGACGCTACCGTCCAAAAGTAAACAGACCTAATACACTGTCCACATTACCTTAGAGAGTATCGTTGGCTTCCCTACTCCTAATCCGTAAAGCTTTCTCTAGGCTGATCCTATTCTTTCCTTACGTCGCTGTCTTCATTCTTCCTTCCATCAGGCTGCTAACTCAGTACCCTGCCCTGACCGAGTTTCAGCCGACCAGTCTACTTCCCTTGACTGCCTTCAAAACCACGAAGATACAAACACGCTAGGCTCTGTTGACTCAATGCTATGTTCCCCCACTTCAAGCGCCTGCAAGAATTGCCTAACCTTTACTTACTTATTAACTCTGTGAGCGTCCTAGACCCATTCACCCTTTACTGTTATAGCCCACTTCTCCTCTTTATTGTACGTCATAATCCTAACACGCCACCAAATCCAGTCTTGCCAGATCCGCCTCCTGTTCTCCGGATTCATTCAGACTTCTGATACGTTTCCTCCCTTGGTTTGGTTGACTTAATGGACTGTTCAAATTCCTTAAGAAGCCTCATCAACTTGTACACTCTTTATCAATAAAACCGTTCTGATCTCTACCCTGCCCGATCCTTGTCGTCGTGTCTGGTTGCATTTCTTTAACCAGACAGTCAACTCTGTACTTTGCCTTAACCTAATCTCATCTGACCAGTCTCCTGCTTTCTGACTGCATCCACTCTATCGAGGCCTAAATGATCTATGCATCACATATCCAACGCACGATTACCGCACCCCGAGAACTTTCTGGATTAGCTTACACTCTATTAGTATAGCTTAATTTAATCAATAAAACTCTCGATTCTGCCCGTGTCATTTCCGCACTTCGCTCTCTGTCTTCAATGTATGCCGATTAAACAAGTATCGCCTTAAAGCTCTTTTTCTCTCCAAACTATCTCAGAGCACTCTTACGTTAACTGTCAAAGTTTGATTAACGGATCGCTACGTGTGTCTATTTAGTTTCATCACCATTTATCTTGACCCGGTACCTTTAGTAGCGAGCTTGTTGCATTCCTTCCCTCCCCAATCGGACGGCCACCTCTCAGTGCCCTGTCAAGACGGTATTTTCTTATCTCTGATTGCTTCTTTGATACAAAGACACGAACGGTCTAGGCTCTACGGACTTGAAGCTGCTTCGCTCCCTACGAGAGCCTGCTAGACTTTTCACCTTTCATTGTTATAGCCTATTTACGCACTTTGATAGTACGAATTAATGTGCTTGCTGTTTCCATCCCTTCTACTGGATGGCCAGCTCGCACTGCCCTACACGCTGAGTAATCCAGTCTCGCCAGATCGGCCACTTACTATCCGATTTCCCTCAGAGTTCTTCGACGTTGAAAATCTTTGTTCGGCTGACCCAACGTTTTGTTTATATCACCTGAAAAGCCTCTTGGGCTCCTCTACTCTTTATCAATAAAACCTTCTCATCCCCAACCTAACATTTTCTTATCGCTTTCTGTGTTCATTCTTATTTTTAATCGGATGGCCGGCTTTACTGCTCTGCCGTGATCTTGTTCCACCGGACTGGCCTGTTTTTCGCTGACTGCTGCCATGTTACCGAGACCTTAGCGGTACATGCTCCGTAGAATTAACTCTTTTACCCCTACTCTGCGGGACTGCCAGCCTTGTTCCCTCGTTAGTGTTATAGCCCTCTTCTTACCTTCTTTGTACGTATTGCCCCAAAGCACCGATTAATCCAGTCCCACTTAGCCGACCTCCTACTCAATGAATACATCTGGACTTCTGAGACATCACTTCGCTTGGTTCGGCTGACCTAATGGTTCTGTATACATTACGTGGAGAGGCTGGTGGGCTTTTCCACGCTGCATTCAGTTTTCCTGGTTTATACCATCGGCAGCAACTCATTTGCGTCAGCTTCGCCAGCTGCTACGTAAAAACCAAGGCTGGAATTGAAACAATACTCATGAAATGCATTCAAAGCTGGCAAGAAGCTCTTAGCATCTACAGATGTTCTTGTGCATTATAATCCGCAGAAGCCTGTTGTTCTTTCGTCTGACGCCTCACCTTACGGCCTCGGAGCTGTTTTAATGCACAAATTACCGAATGTCTCTCAACGTCCCATTGCTTATGCTTCAAGCACCCTGACACCAGCAGAACGGAACTACTCTCAACTTGATCGAGAGGCAGCCGTTGTCATCTTCAGCACCACTCGATTTCCCCTATATTTACTCGGGCGACCTTTCGTGATCCATACGGATCGTAAACCTCTTGCTTTTCTCCTCGGCCACAAGAATGGTATTCGACAAATGGCTTTAGCTAGAATGGTACGTTGGTCGCTTATTCTTTCTGTGTATACATACAAAATTCAGTACGACCCAGGCAAACAGAATACCACCGCTGATGTTCTTAGCCGGCTTCCCTTACCAGAGACAACATCGAAAATATTTATCCCACAAGAACTCGTGAACCTGATTCAGCAATTTAATGATTCCCCAATCACATGTACAGACATACGTCAGGAAAATGACAGAGCCTCTTTTCTGTCCAAGTTGGGCTGCCGGACAACACCCGCAAAGAACTCATGCCCTTCCGTAACAGGATATCTGAACTCAGCCTCCAGAATGTATACTTGCTATGGGGCGCACGAGTTATTTTCCCCAAGAAATTTCGGTCACCTGTCCTTGACGAACTACATGATGCGCATCCAGGCATGGTAAAGACGAAGTCGTTAGCTCGATTTTATGTGTGATGTCCTGAATTAGACCGTGATATTGTGTCGAAGGTTGGAAGTTGAATACCTGGCCAGGAGTCCCTAAATGCCGTTCCTCATGCGCCAGTGCAGCATTGGAAGTGGCCAGAAACATCCTGGAAACGAGTCTACGTAGGCTATTTCGGTCCCTACGAAGGTCGGATGATTTTGCTTATCATCTGTGCCCATTATAAATGGCTTGATGCCCATATGCTTGTTTCAGCGAATTCAGCTGGTACTATATAGAAACTACGCACAACGTTCGCAACATTTAGCCTTCCCGAGACATTAGTATCGGACAATGGACCGGCATTCGCCAGTGTTGAGTTTTTTAACTTCCCCAACTCGAACGGCATTAAACACATAACAACTGCACCTTATCATCCTTCTTGTAGTGGGTTGGCGGAGAGAGCCGTACAAACAGTGAAGAAGCTGCTAATTAAACAACCAGCTGCTCTGCTACGTGTGCGTTGGGATCGTTCCTTGTTCGCATATCGAAACATGCCAAACAGGCCCACAGGCAGCATCCCCATAGAGTTACTGTTTGGTCGTCAACTGCGTACACGATTGGATTTATTGCATGGATCTATTGTGCCACAATTTTCGGAAAAGCGACAACGACTTCGGCCCTTTTCGCTACTGAAATTCTTTCACTTACTACATCTGGAGCTGCCCGCATTACTTTTACCGTCCATATGTTCGTGGATGCCAATGCCCCCAACCAAGTGTAGGTAACCACTTGTAATTAGTAGGCTTAATCCGAATGCCTTTGCTGGCCAATGATACCCCTCTCTTAGGGCCACTGTCCGTCGCTCTGCTTATCTTCCTCACCACTTCGGAGCCATTCGCTGTAGCTTCCATGTCCCTTCTGCGCAGATCTTGAGCCTGCTAGGATACACATCTTGTCTCTCCATCATACAACCACTTGTAATGTTTGTATTACTCCGTCGATCCAAAGCTTCTTTGACCCTTTCCAGACCAGCGACATTTAAACGGTCCAGACTATGTAGACTCAAACTATGTCGCACTTACGTTGACAGCCTGCTAGACTTGTTCACCCTCTATTTATATAGTCACCTCCACCTCTTGACCCACTCCATTTGTCCTCCTAAAATTAGCTGTTGGACTCAATGTCGTTTCGCCGACTAATCCTGTCTCGTCTGTTTGGTCTCCTGCTTTCCAACTTCTCTCAGACTCCTGTGACATTACTAGCCATCGTTCAGATGACTGAGCGCCGTTCGTATCCAATCATTCTTCAATCGGACGATTGAGTCTCTGTCATCCGTAACTCAGCCTCAGCTGATCAGCCAAAGTCTATGGGACTGCTACCAGGCTACCGGGATGTTAGCGGTCTAGGCTCCGTCGATCCAAAGCATCCTCCCTCACCTTGATATCCTGCTGAACTTGTTCGCCCATTGTTGATATAACCACTTCTATCTCTGACCAGTCCAATCCTACTGACTCCACTTACCTTCCCAAATAAAACATAGGAATCAATCAAAATGCGTCGACCAAGTCCAAGTCCTTGGCTTCATCACACCTTAGTAGTAAACCTTTTTCATCCTGACTATCGTCTCTTAATTGCTCTCATGTTTTACTCTTCGCACTCCCATCCGCATTCTTCCGCTCATAGCTGATTCTTTAAAATTCCTTTTCTTCTTGAAACGTTGCTTTACCTATGTTGCTCCCGCATTCGGTCTCAACCTAGTTGCCCTTAGCTTCATCTAAGATGCCGCTCGCATTCGGTCTGCTGTCATCATCATCGGTTTCCCTGTTACTCTCCAACAGTCATATTAATCGCTTAACTTTGTCAACACGCTTTGTTATATCCTTCTTTCTACCTAGTAGTTGTAGTCTGAGACA